AATCATCATTTCCGACCATGAATATCCCGCTCTTGTTGCTCACCAGCTTCTCTCAAAGGTTGTCGACGAGTTCCTCACCAAATACCCCCGCTCCACCTTCGCCAACGCCGGCCCCAATGATAAACTCTCCTTTCCAGAGCTGAAAGACTACATTGTAAAGTACCAAGATCCACAACAGGCCGATAGTATTATGAAAATCCAGAAGGAGTTGGACGAGACAAAGATTGTGTTGCACAAGACCATTGAGAGCGTACTGGAAAGAGGCGAGAAGATTGATAGTCTGGTTGCAAAGAGTGATGGGTTGAGTGCTCAGAGTAAGATGTTCTATACTCAGGTGAGTGGACTCGTTCGGAAATTCGTGGCCCACGCTGACAAGAACAGGCCAAGAAGCAGAACTCCTGCTGTGTGGTTATGTGAATATTGATTCTTCGACTTAATGTGGCGTTCTCTTTCCGGTCGATAGTATACGCTGGATGTTTCTTGTATACCCTTCTGCTCGAATTTTTCTCCCCGACCGTGCTCGTTACTTGGATCCTGCCAAATACAATGCTAACTCTGATATTCACTTACCTCCCATAGAAATTTCCCAAACATTACAAACTACATACAATTTCGCACAAACGTCACCAGGGAACATCTGTTACTGAATGCATCATGAGTCCTACGAGTAATAGTGGACTTACCAGTCCTTATGGTTCTGATCATTAATTTTGGAGACGTTCGAAGCCATGCTCGCAGGTCAAGTTTGAACTTCTCTCATGCCTAGAGGTACCTCACAGCATCGGTTGGATCAAATGATGGCGCGGCTATAAGGATTTCCCGCAATTATTATACGTCTCTCTGCAGGTGTACTGGGTTGATATTTACTATGTTCTATATTTTCGCACCCATGCTTCTCCCCCACTCACTCTCCATAAGCCCATTTGGTTCTGCCACATTTTCCCTAAAGGGACCTAAGGCCGACCAATATGGTTTCCCGAAAATGGTTATCAGACCATGACAGCGATAGCGCTCTCAATGGCTTCTTCAAAGTACACCCGAATAAACGTAGCAAAACACAAACAGAGTACCGACTGGGCCTCTGACATCAGCAAAATTGTGGGATATGATCGAAAAAAAACTTGGTTGACTACGCACTCTAGCCTGTAAATTCGACTTTATTCCCGGCCAAAGCCAAACATCGACGTTGTTAGTCTTACGCGGGAAAAGGTCAATGCCAAAATAGAATTGACGAGGAGGCGGATGGTCAGGGACATCGAAAGCTCGATGAAAGTAAGAGATCCGACAACTACGTATCAAGGCTCGTTCCCTTATTCGATATTGTGGAACCAATGACTGCAATGTTTATACGTTTTCGATACAGTAGAAACTATCCTATGAGTATTCCAGTGCAGAATTCTTGTGCAAAGCCACCATTCCTAACGGCACCATCCTACGCCGCTTGTTCAACATTCCAATATCTTCAATAGCGAAAGTATGCTCAAATTCACAGCCCTCGAGTTCAGTACCAAAATCGCTCGTTAGGGGAAAAATTGCTGACAAAGAGTCTTTCCGGTCCGCTATTTATACAGGGAAGCAGATATGTAATTGTTAGGTGGGACGATGAAGAGTGTAGCTTTACTCGAGAAGGGATTACGGGAGGGACTTAAAGGAGCCGAAAGTAGAGATAGGCAAACGTACTGTAAGAATATATCATGAAGAACTCCGGCTGTTTGTTAATGTCTGCTGAATAATAGCTATGCAAACGCTGCCTAAGGGTGGAGATTCTGTTGGTTTGTCGGCATCGCCAGGCGATGAAACAGGTTAAGAGATATCTTCATTATCTTCTTCCTCGCTGAATGAGACCTGAGTTTAGGTACTTTTGTTTTCTACTTAACTACTCTGACCGAGTTAAGTGATTTTATAGTCGTGTTCATAGGTCCACGTGACCACGCGACCTGCTTAGTTACGCGTCCGCCCCCTTCCTAAAATTACACTCTCCTTTATCCTCCACACCAATTTCTTCTCCCATCTCACCCCCAAAATTTGTTAATATTTTCGCCCTTAGTTACCCTACCATAGTCTCGCCCGTTCACAGTGGGTACTCCCAAAAGGTCGCTCGGAAACGTTATCCAGACAACGAGGAAAGCGATTACGCTGAAGCCTCAGTCACTACCAAACGAGCCAAAAGAGCTACAAAAGATATCCCTGCTCTTGAAGGTCGAATACTTGGTCACTTCGTTCAATCCCCAATTCTTACGATAGCAGATAGGGAAAAGAAGTCAAAAGAAGATCTGACTGTGTGCGTCATCGGACTGCATCGAATCATGCGCTCGCAACCGCTGACGAATTCCCTTACGGAGGAGCGTATCTCACTTAAATGAGGCATGCAAGGAGTTTAATGGTAAAAGGTGTTGAAAAGCAGATGCAGGTATGGAACCCACAAACTCTATTGCTCGTAACACCCCTACAACCCTCGCACTCATTCAACGAACGGAGAAGAACGTTATCGCACCTGGTGGGGACCGAACCCACGCCCTCATCATTGGTATGAATATGAGCTTAATGTTTTGATGCGCAATCACCACGCCACAGATAGTGGTATAGCAAGAAATATTTCTAAAATTGTTCCCCTATAACATAGCCCATCTGAATTCTTCTTAAAAGGGAAAAGACTTGAAATGGCACACACCCACATTCACAGCTACATCCGGTTAAGTAGTAAGACAAATGAGAGCTTGGTGGCAGGTCCTGCTACCTTGAATGTTAAATCTTTATCATGTACTTTAGCTAGGCGAAGCTGATCCAGGTGTACGGATCTCATCCTTAACTGCAGGTTTAATTGATAAAGTCTCCCTTAACTTGTTCCGACGGAGTTCTATAACGGACCGACAGGACAAGCTAGAATTGGCACGTTTTGTAAGTAGGATTGGGCGAGATTTTGCAGCAGAGATATATTGTGTTATTCTGCGTCGAGCGGAGGGAGTTGTGCAAATATATAGATGACGCAGTAAGCACTAGAGAGACTTTCTGCTTACAGCTTTGGATTCCTCGTTCGTTTGTTTGCAAGTATGATCATTGAAGGTTATACAGGGACAATGTGAATTATCTAGAATGATCTGAGCGCTTAGACGGGTATAATTCAGTTCCCTAAATATTTATGCCGTTACTTTTATTAGCTTTTGGAAAACTAATCAGGATGCATGCTTAGATCATTGTCACTTTTCTAGGTACCTTGATCCAAGCATCTTAAAGCTCAGCGCCGAAGACTTACTCGTATACGGTATCCAACGTTAGGAAAAATCCAGGAAGTACGTGTCCGTGAGAAGAGTATTTAAGCTTTTGGGAGCAGATGGGAGGATAGACTGAGGACTATTGTGAGTGTGAATTTCCTGCTCCCATATTAGCTAAGGAAAATAAAAAGTAAACAAAGAAGGGAATACATTTTGAAGTATCATTACGGACTATATTAGATAAGGAAATCATTTCCCAACAGCCAGCAGAATCTATATGCGATTGGCTTAGTTACATGATTATTAATAACTAACAAAAAGGTAGACGAGAATAAGATGGCATGTCCGAAAAAATAGGAAAAGGAGGCCAAGCCTCTTCCGTTAGAGCTATACCAAATCCGATGCGAATATTTCAATTAATATCTTTTTAATACCAGACCTTAACGACATGTCTGATATTCAAGATAACTAGGGCTACTACACAGAACTTGTGTATTTTTTTTCTACCTCTCCTTTTTATTGAGCACTTCACTAGAATTTGACAGTATTGGGGCGCCTTTATTTGGCAAAAAAGCGATCCAAAAATTTTCGGTTGGCGTCATGATCGCAACGGGATCCTTTGCAGCGGAGGAGTGGACAGAGTGTCGACACTACACCGCATATGCTTCATTATTTGTGCTCATTAGAGCTCCGGCATTTGATTAAACTGTGCTGTTTCACCATAGCTATATTAGAATAGTTTAAGTTGAGGAAAAGGCAAAGATTTTGGACGTTGGAGGAAGACTCCTCTGATGTCGGGTTTACTTGGCTCTACACATTGATGTTACGTGTTCATAGACCCGATTGGGAACCAGGTAGCACGTTAAATTGAATTATAATAATAATAATAATAATAATAATAATAATAATAATAAATTGTGCTGTTTCTTTAAAAACCAAAAGTCATTGGCGTCGCCGGAGTTGAACTAAAGTTACTCGCTATCTATCCGTCAACGGAGAATGCTACCACTACATCACCCCGGCTTTTGTTGTTGATATGAAGAAACTGTGTTGATGGGGCTATACATAATGCAATCCATATTCCCTCTCTCTTCCTACGCGGCAACCGACTGAAAGGGAATTACATTACTCTTTCTTTCCATTCTCAGAAAAGAAAAAGAACCAAATAGACAGTCCCCGACGTCAGCTAGTATAAACTTGGGACTGGCATTTCCTTCCAAGTTATTTAAAGTGACCGAGAAGTTGTGATCGGCGTCAAGGGATCGAACTTGAATCACTCATTGTGGCCGAGGCAGCGAAGTATGCTAACTAACCATTACACCACACCATATTTGTGCTTGATGCTTGATATAGGGACTTTATCTGTCGAGTGGAGTATGCATTCTTCTTTCCATCCTGCACTTCTGAAATTTGACTTGAAAAGGATCAACAAGTCCTGGCCAGCATCAGGGGTCGAACCTGAGCCACTCGTTGTGATGAAGCCGACATGGCATGCCCACCACTACACTACGCCGACATTTGCTCCTCAATACAGGAAAGTTCATTGGTAAGTGAGGATTATACTGTCTGTTCTCTATCCAAGGTCTACCCAATATAGAGTCCCCACCTCCTATTTATTCGACATTTACCTACAACAAATCCTACGCACTGCTCTTCCAAAAACCCCCAACCCAGACAGGTATGTATGGCCGGCGTCAGGAACAAAATCTAGGCCATTCAGCTATCGAGGAGGATGTCGCCAGTACATCATACCAGCCTCACTTCTTGAGAAGGAAAAATTCTAAAACTGGTCGATGTTAGGAATCGAACCTGAGTGTTTGTTGGTGACTAGGCAACAAATGTGCTAGCCACTACTCCACAGCGTCGACTGTGTTTCTTGATATATGAAATTTCCGGTGTGGAGTGAGTCTCGATAACTGCTACAGAGGTAGTGGTGAGGCTAACAAACTCAGTTCTACACTCCACCCCCAGTCAGTTACGAAGCTCGGACTACTCTAAATTGAACAGAATACATACATTTCCAGTGCACTCGCACCTTTACTTGGCTATATTTTGTTCATACATTCCGTATATATCCTAACCAAACCCAACCAACCATTTAAAGCCTTTCCCTATGCCTTAACGCAAACCTGCCACCCCCTATGACATCCTCTCGCAGCCACCAAAATCACACAGGCCACTACAAGCATACTCCCTGCATACGCCCAAACTGCCGTAAATCCACCACTCGCATCCCTAATCGCGCCTCCAATCGGTGTCCCAATTAGCATGCCCATCGCCGTAATCGCGAAACCCTGGCCCATTCTCGCACCAATTTTACTTCTATGGTTAGCAGAGAGATGCACCAATATGGTGGGAGGCAGGGATACGAAAGTGCCGGAGAAGAAGCCATAGAGTGCTACAAGAGCGACGATAGAGGCGGTACCATTTGCGCCTATGAAACCGAAGCAGAGGAGTGCGGAGGCGAGGGTACAGGGGATACCGACATTGAACGGCCCAATTTTATCAGCCAACCAATTTGGAAAGATGCGGCCAAAAGTACTCGTACTATTCATAATGCTCAGCAAATAAAACCCAAAATCGGTGCTTGTGAAATGCTTTTCTATGGCGTAGACCTGGGAGTAGAAAAAGGGCATATAGAGACCGACGAAGCCGACGAAAAAGCCAACGACGTTAAAGACGTATGAGGGCTGGCGGAATGCAGAGAGATCGAGGAGGGCGCGTTTGGTTGCAGGGAGGACTCGGACTTGCATGACAGCATTGGGGATTATCATGGTGGCGAGGATTATGAAGCCGATTACACGCGTAGTCCAGGCGAAGCCGATGCGGGGGAGAAGTTTGTGAAATATTATGGGGTAGAGGACGCCGCCTGAATATAGTCAATATGCAAATTCTATGGGAAACGGGGGGGCTGCTTCGGAGGAACCAAAACATCCTAGAAACTAAAGGTGATAAATCACGTATGAAAGCAAGCAAAATGACCAAAAACTCACCAATACTACTCCCCGCAGCCGCCAACCCCATAGCCGTCGCCAGCTTCGTCGTAAAATAAGTACTTAAAATCGCAACACTGGGCACAAAAAGGGCCCCGCACCCAATCCCCGTACACAGCGCCTGTGCTAGCAGCACCTGCCAGTACTCTTTACACAGACTCAGCATCATCTGGCCCAAGACGAGCATGAAGGAGCCCCCGATCAATAGTTCGCGGAAATAGCCCGCGTCGTAGATGGGGCCGGTGATGGCGCCGACCATCATTAGGAGGAAGGCTTGGATCGAGCCGATCCATGAGATGGAGGAGGGTGAGGAGGAGGTGAGGAGGACGGTTTCGTAGTAAGTTTGATAGCTGCCAAAAGTGTTGACTACGCCCCTGCGGCGGAGTTAGCCGATGTATAGGGATATGCAATTAATATACATAAAGAAAAGTGGGCATCTCAAATGCCTACTGCATGTGTCCTTCTCCTGACATGTTTAATTGGAAAATACACATACCAAGAATTAAAGAACAAGAAAAACGACCCCAGAACCTGCAACCAAGCTTTCAATCCACCATTCGGTATAGAACTCGTATTATTCACTGATGGAGGGACAGAAATTACCGGTTCCAGCCCATTTTCTTCTTTCTCTCTTTCTTCCCTTTCTCTTTCTTCCCTTTCTCTTTCTTCTTCTTTCTCCGTACTGCGGATATTTGACTCACTGTTCTTCTCCTGCATGAACTCGGTCAAAGACTCTCCTTCCATATTCTCGTTGCTACTATTTGCTAAAGGTCTGTCATCCACACTTGATGTCGAAGACAGGTCAGTCGGAGCACTGGTTTGAGGAGCATTGTCCGCGCGCCTCATTGTGACTGCTGTACTGCGCCGTAAAGCCGAGGTCGGACTAGACTACTATGGAGGTACAGATACAAAAAGATGACTAAATTGCTGTAGTATTCGTATAGGTTGGAGAGAACGCAAAGAAGGATGATGTCTTTTAAGGGAAAGCAAGATATCCAAGAAATCACCCTGAAACGGAGAAAAGAAGAAAAGGAAGCGAGATAAAGAAAGACAAGGGTAACAAACAATGATATATAAGCAAGCACAGCATGCTTGTCGACTACGGCAAATGTAGATATACAAGCCGAATACCCGGTAAATAAGAAAACCGTACTGGCGCGTAGGGGTTGAGAGCTGGGGTAGAGAGGGGACGAGTAAGTGGCTGTGTGGGGTATTGCTTGACCTTCAGCCCTATTCCCCCGTTCAGCTTTATCCCCGGCCTAAAACCGACCTTCTCTCTGCCCTATACTGTCTAGTACATATATCACTGCTTCAAATAAAGAGGCTCAGTCGAGATTGTGAACATTATCTATATTCTATTTCCTTTTGCAAGACCAAGGAGCATTTGAAACCCATCTGAAAAAATGGACAATCAGAATCAACCGCCCCCATCGCTTCGTTATTGAGGAAGAAGGAAATTCCTAATAAAGTGATGTATAATACAGCATCATGAGTCTTGGTCTCATAACCTCAAAATGCATCATCATCCCAGGCCATGCTTTTCTTTTCTTCGTCCGTCCCCAGTTGTCTACCCTTCCAATGCTCAGGATGATGCATGTTCACATGCCCAAGCTACCAAACCAAACGCCCTTGCTAGACCCATAATGCTCGCTATGCAGTATGAGATTTTTGTAAGACGCAATGAAAAAGACATAGAAGGCCGGTACCTACTGGGCTCTGAAGAGTCTCCAGGAATCCACCAACACCGACCCAAATCGAACCCAAACCATAAAAATCCAGAAATTCGGTCCCCTGCACTATTCCGTCGTATATGAGAGACGTTGATAGATGCAACTAAAAATATATCAGGCATGACAGATCTAGATTCAGCACTTTCCTATACTCCGGGCTGGCCAACAAGGCGTTGACGGGTCAGAATAAGACCTGATGGATGCTCATGAGAACGCTCGACATGTTCCTCCCAATAGAGAGTATCTACTGGGTATTTTTCAACAGGTCCATCAGAGGATGACTTGAACGATTTCCAGGCTTTCTGTCGGCGGTTTTCGCGCTCGTCCACAACAGCTCGCATAAGGTCCGCAACAAACGACCAGCCCAGGCGCCGACCAAGCTCAAAGTGGGAAAAGAGGCTTTGCAGCGCGGAAAATGGAAGAGATATGAGGAGACTTGACAAAATCCTGGTGGCATAAACCGGCTTCGCATCGTCCTCAGCCGGTACGTCTCCGAAACGGATCTTGCTCAGGCGAGGATTGTGAGCAGGCACCTTGGGCTCAGCAATAAGGGGAAGTCGTGGATTGTCTACCAACTCTGGTGCGGCGTTGTACAGCTTAAAGTTCGCAGGAATAGAGAAGGCAATAAAATCGAGCACGTCACCCAACATAGATGAGCTGAAGGAGCCATAATTCGCTTGCTGTGGCTGATCGGCTTGAGAATCGACATGAACTTCCTGGACTCCGTTCTCGCGAGCAAGACCGGCATCCGAATAGGGATTGAGCGCAAAATGCAGTACTTGATCAACCGTGTCCCATCGAATAAGCTTCTGCACAAGGTCGGCACTGCGAGCCGTGAAAGAAGGAATCTGCAACAGGGATCCTGCAGCAACGAGGCTCAATGCCTGCTCCATGCGGGTACGGGCTTCGTTGCGTTTGTCGATGTCGTCGGCATTGTGCTGAAAGTGCGGAAGATCCCACGGGAAGCCATCGCTCGCAACAAATGGAAGACCATAGAGATGCTTCACGGCTGCTGAAAGAGACTGGACTGTTATGAACTTGTCTGTTGTGGAGATGTCAACTAACAAGCGAGAATCTTCCGTCCGCAGATTAGATGCTTTGCTAGCGTGGATTGCAGATGCAATAGCTCGGCTACGTGATACAATGATTCCATGAGCGGCCAGAGGGAAGTGGGTGAAAGGGGAGCGAACTTGCAGAACAATATCAGAAAACTCAGGATTACCAAACTGGGAGCACATATAGTCGGCAAGTTCTAGAGCGTTATCCTCTGGTTTGGGGGCTAGAGCTGGCACTGCGGACCCATTGCTGAGTTGTGCTACATGGCGACTCCCATCATATTCCGAGCGCACCGCCGTCTCTAAAGATTGCGAGATCACAGGGGACCGGGAAAGGGATCTAGGTGTGTGCCTGGCGCCAGCCATGGTTACTGTATCCTGCGGTGGAGGTGGCGGATATGGCGTAGCAAATGAAGGATGACCTGGCCATGCAGTGGGTGGGTAATCCCTATTGTAGCTATAGGGTGCCTGCGTAGGAGGGAGAGACATCGCAGGATATAAGAACGGCGCATTTGGGTCGGACTGCTGATGAGAATGGCTGGGGGTGTAGAACGGAGGGGCGAACTGCGGGACTAGGAACCCAGGTGGAGGCCGAGTAAAGTTTTGCGGTGCGCGCATCTCAGGTTCCATATCATGTGGTGTAGATGAAATGTTCGGAGACTTCGGCATGGCGCCGAATACAATGCTATCTACGCTGGGATGCGCGCGATGAGGCGGTAGTTGCGTTGGACTTTGGTTGGGTCCATCAAGTGCTGGAGACATGTTCGCCGGCTTCGCTGAGGGACGGAAAGGCGGAGGAAGCCCATTCGGGAGTTTGCTGCCATTCGACGTAGTTGGAGATGTCTCCATTACTTTATCTTCGGGCATGAATCGCTTGCTCTCTGATTGCGGCCTTGTCACGACTGCGGTATTAAGCGTCAGAGATTGTGTAGAAGGAAGTAGTTGATGACAGCAGACCTTGCGAGTTTACAGTCTCTTCCGCAACCTGCCCCCGGGGACCGCTTGAGGAACTCTGTGGTGACGCTTTCTTCCCCTCTTTGGGGGACAATGGTGATACTCTCGAGTCTGGCGTGAGAGGGACATGCAT